ACAACACAATGTGAAATCACTTCTTTTCTTTCAACTTCCATTTTTGTTCAAAAACATTTCATCACAACACTTGCTTCTCACTTTAACCTTCCACGTTAATATAAAAGAATTTCATCCAAACATTTGTTTTGAAAACACTTTCACACACACTAGTCATAACCTGGTCTTACATTCTAACTCACTATACACACTTATACACCAATACATCTACTACCTTCCCTTGCCATAGGCCCAAGGCAAGGAACGCCCACAACAATATACTAAGAAATATAAATAACTGAGAGTAATACATACTTCCATTTCCACTGGCCTACAGCATGGATAGCAAATGCGACAACCCATAAAGCTTTATTGGCCTTACTTGGAGGGGAACGACCCCAAGGTCACACTTTACCAAGCGCAAACCAGAAAGAAAAAGAACCCATCTCAAGCCGCCAAGCTTTACCGGCCTCCCGAAGAGAAACAAACCTCAAATTCACACTTTACCAAGCTCAAACTGGAAAGAAGAGGAACCTCTGTCGAGGCGCCATGCTTTACCAGGCCTTAACCGGAGAAAAACGGACCTCCAAACAATATCACAACATGCTAGATACATAAATGGTATACAAGTGTAATACATACACTTAATCTAATCAACAACAACAATGTCATCTTCCACTGATGACCAATGACAAAACCTCTAACAGTTAAATAAATAGCTTCCATGAATTTAAACCACAACTGGTTCCATAATTCTAAATCATTAACATTTTCAATGAAATCATTTCACAAAAGGGTAACGAACATCATTTTGTTCTTTAAAACCAAACCCGTTGTTCCAATTATTCAACACTTTTAACCCTTAGCCAAAACCCCTTTTTCCCTTTAATAAAGACCCTATTTATGATACACAACTACAATCCAACTCAACACAACATTAAACAAAGAAATCACAAGAGCTGGTTAGTTTAGCAACCAAAACATTAATTCAATCCCATAACACATAACACAATCCTTACGCAACTTTACCCCTTTTTGGTTTATAAACCCTTAATAACAAATTAGGACCTTTTGCCACTATCAACATAGATATGATTAACTGCCTCCCAACTTACCAAATCAACCAAAACTCAAACCCAAAACCCCCTTCATACTATTGGAAAATCCCTTAACAAGCATGCTTTTAAATGCAATAAAACTACTGCTAGAGGTGTAATTTTGGCCCGTGGGCGGCCCGATGTGGGCCCTACCCGTTAAGGCTCGTTTAGGTCCGAGCCCAAGCCCAATCCGAGGCCTTGGGCCAGGGCCTGGGCCATCCGTTTTGAAGCCTGGTCTGGCCCATGGGCCCGGCCCATGGCTCGGCCCATTGGCCCACTCAGGGCCTGCCCAAAAGCCCAGCCCACCTGAGGCCCAGTGTTATTTTTAATGAAAAATAATAAAATTTTGGTGGAAAAAATAAATAAATAAAAAAAATGTTTAAGCCCGCCCAAAGCCCGAATATCCCTAGGCCTGGGCTTGGGCTTAGTTTTCTGGCCCGTGGGCTGGCCCGATTTTTTGGCGGAAGCCCACAAGGCCCGACATGGGCCTGGCCTGGCCCGAGCCCGAATGGGCTAGGTCGGGCCAAAATTACAGCCCTAACTACTGCATGTCTATCTGTAACTAGGTATTGAAAAAGAGCAAAAGAATCCCTACCTCTCAAAGTGAAGAGGAGACAATCCAAAAATCACCGGCAACGAAAAGACGATCCGCTCAAATTACATGAAAGCCCTTGCCGAGCTCATATTTTGATATGTGGAACTAGGGGTAGAAAATGGATAAAAATAGATGAAAACTAAGCTTCAAAGCTTAAAACAACCAAAAATGGCAGACAGGGAGAGAGAAGAGAGAAGATGAACTAAAAAAAACAAGAAGATATTTTCAGTTTTTGGTACTTTATATAGAAAAACAGACTATGGGTTCGAAGGCCACACTGTGGCCGCAACTCAAACGACAAACTTGGTCGCGGGCACAACCATGAGGGTCGCGAGCCCCCATTGCGGTCCACACAATCCCTCGCGGACTGCACATCTCCTTCCTCCAACCAACAGACCTGAAGGCCAAATTGGTCGCAGCTTGGTCACTGCCCCTCGCAAGTGCAACTTACACCTCAACTCCTCACGAGTGCGACCAAGCAAAGATAAAAAGGTTGCTGCTCTGAAGCCAAAACAAGGCATTCTAAGGGTCCAAACCACCCATAAAAGGTCAAAGTCACTCGGAACGACCACATGCCCCAACCAAAAAAAAAAAAAAGGACCACTTGTATGGGAACTGGGGTGTGGCGGTTGTGCGAGGATATACAGTCACTGTTATGCGATCAATAAAGCCTATTTTAGGGCCTATTTTGATAATCTGAATGGTTCGGTTTTTAAGGGCATAATGAGTAAAGTATACTTACAAAAAAATCAAATTGATCGGATATCAGTAGCCCTTTTATCGAATTACATTTGTATTTAGTTTTATACTTCAAACAGCCAGTAATGCAGATCAACTTAATTTTTTACAAATATGTTCTACTAGATTTACTCAAAATAATGAAAGATTCAAATCATCAAAATAGAGTCCGAAGTAGGCTCCATTAGCCGCACAACAATGGTTGATGTGCCTGCACAACTGAAACCCCATGTCCACTTGTATGGCACATGTTGTATGATATTAGGAATAGACTTTAAAACTTAAAAATTCAATTATATATATATAAACGGTCCGGTTCAATTCCATACGGTTATATACCACAGACCAAATCTTTAAGTATAGTTTACCTATTTCAAAAACCAGAACCAAACTGTGCGTCGAAAAACCAAACCAAATCGTACAATTTGGTCTAGATTGGACCAGTTTGTGATTTTTTTTTCGATTTGTTTGCTCAGTCCTAGATTTTTTCACGTATATTGTGTACTCTTGTGATTGATTATGTGTGTTAATTGAGCTAAAAGATTAACTTTGAACATAAAATTAGATTTTTTTTAATTGATTAGACTATTCACTCCCTCTAGGCACATAACGTTCATACTCCAATCGTGATGGGCTTTTTTGGTGCCAACATAGTTGAGATGATTTAGCTCATCGTGATACTTTTGCACTTGCCTCTCTTTATTGATATATTTTGTTTTGTACCTTGTACTTAGCTCTTTCATCAATAAAGTTTTTTTTAGCCAATCAAAAAAAAAAAAAAAAAAACGTTCATACTCCAATCGGCAATACAAAATTTTCAAATCCATTCTCAAAACATGGATCTAAAATATTATATTAACTTGAATGCTATACTTCCAAAATTATTTCTTTATTATTATTATTATTATTATTATTATTATTATTATTTTTATTATTATTGGTGAAAAAATATTTATAACAAAATTCAACAACATCAATATAATTATATTGAATTATAAATAATTACCATCAATATAACAACATCAACATCAACATCAATTGGTGAAAAATATCAATATAATTATATAAATTAGAAATCAACTATATAACAAAATTCAACATCAAAAATTAGTGCTTAAACTTAAAAAGTCATAATAATGGAATGTCATCTCATTGGCCATTTTTCCAGTTTGTTTTCTGCCTACTTTTTTATTAATTTTTTCTGTATTTCAGTAAGCATCTAGCAGGAATAAAAAATTGATAGAAAGTAAAAGAGTTGCTAGAGAGTCTTAATCTTAATTCTATATAAAAGTAGTTTGTAAGTTTAAATATTATTGGTCAATACTAACATTTTGATTGGTGGATGTGGCTAGGAAGAGATAGAATAGAGAGAGAGGCGTGCCTTGTTATGAATAATGTTTAGTAGTGCTTTAATTTTCATGTAACAATAAAGAACAAGAGGCCATCAGCATTATATTAATCTCATGGTTGCACAGCAATAATTCATACTGCGTCCAAACTGTGTAGAGAGTAGATGGCAGCTCTTAGGGAGATACAAAATACTTACATTTTGTTAAACTAACAGTTGATGGCCATAAAAATGAGGTAATAATCTCAGTTCTCACATAGTTTGGGAAGAAATTAGAAGAGGTAAATGAGCTATGCTTTGGAATATGGTATGGACATATTAATGTATGTCCACATTATGAATTTTTGTCAATTTTTCTTTTGAAAATCCTTGTTACAAAGAACATTTTAAACTTGGATTTTTTTTTATTTAATAAATAATTCTAAAAAATCAAATTGTTTATCAAAGGTAACCCACTTTTCAACTTATTTATCAAACTATAATTTTTTTAAAACATAAGTTCAAAATGCAATTTCATATTGATTGACTTACAATATATAGTATGGGACATGTCACATAAAGATTGCATGTTCAAGACGCGATTTTACCACCGACAATTCGTATTTTGGAACCGTCGATTTTAAAAAAGTGGTTAATTGCAACCAAATTAGTTTTGAAAATTGATTTTTACAGAAAAAAGATAAAATAAAAAATAAGAATGTTCAATTTTTTAGTAAAAAAGAAAAAAAAATCCTCAAACTTGACCTCATAGCTTTTTGATTTGGCGACAGGCCTTTCTTCCAATGGCCTAACTAACACTTTTGCCTCAGAACATCAACTAAAATTGAATACAGGATCAGAACTTTGTTCAAGTAATTGTGCTTATACATCATTTATATGAGCAAGTAACAAAACATATTGTCTCTCAAGAATGCTATTGAAAAGTGAATACCATGTGAACACTGAGGCCCTTGTGGCAAAGACTAGAAAAAAATCAAATTCTAATAAATCAGCTACCTAAGCAGAGTTACAAATGAAGATGTGTCAAGAGACTTAAAAAGGACCAAGAACTGCATTGATCCACAAATTGTGTTGGGTGTGGAAGTGAATGACTACAATGCTAACATTGTCAATCACATTGTAAGCTTACTCAAACCACCAAAAACATCTCTAATTTGCCACTAATGTACAAGTTAGCAGTCATCAAATTGAATTACTTTGCACGTACTCAAGTTTCATTGAACAAGAAGGATATTCGAATAGATTTTCCATCCAAACATTTTCACTTTATTCAGAACTTTCAGCAGCTAAATCTTCTACCAAAATGCCCATTAAAAACTCATTCCTTTTTAGGTGGCTACGATCTGCTTCTTAGCATCTGAAGAACTGAACCGTGTTTCTCTTCTTTGCAAATCCATCTCCCAATAATATGCTGATTAAGAGAAAAAAAGAAGGCCATTTTTAGTAAAGTGCCAAAGCAGTATGTCATTAGCAAGCCTTGGGCAAAAAGGGATTTTACATATCAACTCAGCTTCAAAATCCACCATGTGATGAGAGCTTCATTCCATTCCTGACACCAGTGCTTTCATCAATAAGGGAGAAAACTTTACATCAGCGTGGAATCCGTCAAACTTTCCAAATCATCACACACCAGACATTCAAATCCCTGCAAACCCTTTCTTGGAGATTGCACACAAAATCTATTGCCTTTGACGACGAGGGAATTGTTAGATGTGCATGAGTATTTCTGCCTGCACTAGCATTTTTTTTTTTTTTTAAGTTTTCCCATGACAAACCTCCATATTGTTGTGCAAAGCCTCAAGCATCCTCAACAGCTACCTGCAATATAAGGAAACAAAACCATAAGTTGATAAGAGGTTCAAAGTAATATACATGAACACAATTGTAGTGGAGATGAGAAGGCAAGTGAGTTTGCTTAATAACAAATAAATTGAAATTAGCAACCAAACTCAAGCTCACTTAAAGGAAAAAGGACCAAACTTCATCATTTTATTAACTATTATTGTAAAGTCTTAGCTACTCTATTAAGTAAAACATGAAATGACCAGTTCTTCCATATTGACATTTTTGGGGAGTCAAAGTAACTATGGATTGCCCACATGGATTTTGACCAGATAAGGTGGCTTTCTAATTGTCTAATGTAAAATAGCATGCAAGGAGAAAGGCTAAAAAACACAAAGTGATTTTTGCAAGGTCTGGAAATTTAAATGATCAAAAGTCTTGCCTAGGAGTGTGCTGGAGGGACGTTTTTTCAATCATGGAAAGGACTTCTTCTCAATTATCTCCTTTTTCGATTTTTTTTTCCTGTCTCTTATTCCTTTATTACCTATGAGAGTTTTCTACATTATCCAAAGTACTTATCATGCAAATTTCTGGCATACCTTGAGAAGAGGCACAAAAACTTGTAGTGCAGTTTAGATGATGAGCGTGCATACATCCTAAAGTTTGTTTCCACAACAACAAGCCCTGAGAACAAAAAGGTAATGACAATAGTCAGTACATTTTTCTATTTAAATTTTCAACAAAACATAGAAAAAATACTGAAAAGCACAGTTTTACAAGCTACAACTGCAGGTTTTAACAGACTGAGGAAGTTGTCCTCTTTAGGGTTAAAAATATTCTCGACGCTCATGGAGGTGTATTTGTATTTGGTGGAGTAGGCGAACGTACTCATGAAGCAGATGAAAAACAATATTAGCATTCCAAGTGAAATGGAACCACTCATTAGCTCTCGTCTTGGCAATTTCAAAAAAGAACAAGTAACTTGAACTAATACAAATTGCTGAACCATTTATTCTGTAGCCATTGGAAACATTATGAAGCTAGCTAATAAATCATATGTCACATTTCCATTGTCAATGTAATAGATTAATTTTCCCAAAATATATTCCATGCTGCCATGGATATGATACATTATGTTGTCTCTAGCACTGCTGTAGACACCCCATTTTTGACCGACCTTAAGACTCAGACGTCACCAGTTGAGCACTCGGTGATATTGCATATTGTGCTTGTTCAGAAGTTTCAGAGTTGCGGCCGTGAGCCCTGCCTCTGGACTTCCGAACCCTCTTCTGTGCCTTGTCTCGGTTTGCGAACCAGACTCGGTTTTCTTTGCTTCTTTCCCCGAGGGGAGGGAGAGGTCCTGTAGACCATCTCTCAATGTCCGTAGGCTACATTTGGTGGCCGTAGGTCATTTTTCCCATTTCGGAGTCCGGTTTCCGGTTTTCGGAGCCGTCAGGCCGTGTGCCTCGGTTCGGGACCGCTTAACCATCTCCTATTGCTCTAATTTTTGGCATACTTCCTATTTGCTCCCTTTTGAGAGACACTGGGGGCTGAGAAACCCACTTCGTGGCCGAATACCATTTTCGGTGCTTAACAGCCCATTTTCGGGACGCCGAACTGCGTGTTTTGGTCCCCGAGCGTTCGTTTTGCAACCGTTTTCGTTCATTTTTGGCAGGTACCTCTGTTTTATCACGAGGAAGGTCACTGAAGGATGGGAGGCCAGCAATTGTTGCAACAGCCAGTTATCTCTCCTCCGGAGCCTCCCGACGCCCGTTTTTCCGACTTCCAGGCTAATGTTGAATACCTTGGAGCTAATGTTGTCAACTTTCAACCACATATCTGTGATCTACACATCTGGGAGGCCCCTAAAAGTTCATGGCCGGCCAGTAATTCAACTTGACCCTTTTGACCCCCTCTTTCCGAGCCAATGTTGAACCCCTTGGACCTACTTTCTTGGAATTTTAACCACATGGTTGTGTTGTACACACATAGGGGTACCTCTCCAGTATCTGGCCGGCCGGAAAATCACATTGACCCTTTTGACCCCTAGCCGGCCGGCAAGGGGGTGTGGCCGGCCGGCCACCTCCAGCAAAAGTGTTAGGCCGGCCGTGTTCCTTGCACTGTGCACTTTACAGCTATGGGGCAATATCCCCCAGATATTTTCTGTATCCGGGGGATATTTTGTGGGGGAGTTTTGCTCTCCTTCTCCCCCACCTTTACACCCCCTTTTTGATCCTTATAACCAGCTGGTGGCCTCCTTTCTAAGGGTTAGAAAAACTCTCCTTCAAGCTTCCATAGCCAACTCCATCTTCTTCCTTCTCAATTCTTCAAAAAACCCTAAGTCACTAACCATCATTCCTTCTACACCACCAAGCTCTACCACCACCATCTCATTTCCAGCAACAAGGAAGGATTCTTGAAGGCTAAAGAAGCTGCAAATCCATCCAAGAAGCAACAAAAGTGTTGATCTTCAAGGGTAAGTAATACTTTGACCCTTTTGACCCTTTTTCTTGATCAATATGTAAGCCATGCATGTTTCAAGCTCCGGCCCTAACTGAAAAGGGCCATCTTTTGAGCTCATCTTCACTTCTCATTAAGGGCTCAACCCTGTTTGAGCCCTCCATAATACACTTGCTTCATTGATCATCTTGTATGTCATGTTTTTGCATGCTATTTTTGGCCCATGAGAAATTTATTTTCGAGCATGTTGTAAACTGATATGAGGCTTATTTTGAGCCCCTCTTCAACATTGGAGAAGGGCTCAACATTGTTTGGTGTCTCCATGTGTCACTTGTAGTTTAATCCCTTATTTGGCCCCATTTTTGCATAAATTGGTAGCCCCCTTTTCTTCTGTTTTTGGACCTTGGTCCGAACTGAAAGTAGCTTTATTTTGGCCTATACTTCATGTTTCATTAACACTTTTTTTCTGTTTGGTGATTATTTTGTATACTTCATGTTATAGCACCTTTGGAGCCTTGTTTTGCATCACATTTTTAGCATATTTGTATACTGATTTTGAGGCTGCCATATACTGTAAATGTTCATATTTTTGGTCCATCTTCATTGTTGTAGAAGGAATTTTTTCAGTTTGGGTTTTTCTTATATCACTTGCTTCATTAGCCCTCTTTTGGCCCCTATTCTCGTATGCCGTTTTTCCCCTACCTATACTTGCTGTTTGGCAATGTTTATAACTGTGAAAGTGAATATTTTGAGACTGTCTAGCTTCTGTCTTTGCATTGCATGTCCATATTGTGCATGTTTAGCATAGCTATAGGCCATTTCGGGTGCCTAAATTCGCATTTCGGGACATTTCCTTGCATTTCATGTCATTTTGCCTCATTTCGGGACTGTTTTCCCTCATATTTTGTTGCTGAAATTCTGTTAATATGCTTGCATATCATTTTTGCCATGTTTCATTGCATTTTGTCATTGCCTCGGTTTGCGTGCCTATGTGCACGCACTTCGAGGCACTCCATTTTCATTCATCGGCATCCGATGTGAGTGTGGCTGAGGCTCACTCATGTTGGTATAAGTCCATTTGTCATTTCGTGTCATTTTATTACCGCCTCGATTTGCGTGCCCGTGTGCACGCATTTCGAGGCACTCCTTTTTTTATTCACCGGCATCCGATGTGAGTGTGGCTGAGGCTCACTCATGTTGGTATAAGTCCATTTGTCATTTCCATATCATTTCATGTCATTTCATCACTGCCTCGGTTTGCGTGCCCGTGTGCACGCATTTCGAGGCACTCCCATTTTTCATTCACCGGCATCCGATGTGAGTGTGGCTGAGGCTCACTCATGTTGGTATAAGCCCATTTGTCATTTCCATATCATTTCATGTCATTTCATCACCGCCTCGGTTTGCGTGCCCGTGTGCACGCATTTCGAGGCACTCCCATTTTTCATCTGCCGGCATCCGATGTGAGTGTGGCTGAGGCTCACTCATGTTGGTATAAGTCCATTTGTCATTTCCATGTCATTTCATCACCGCCTCGGTTTGCGTGCCCGTGTGCACGCATTTCGAGGCACCCCATTTTTTATCTGCCGGCATCCTATGTGAGTGTGGCTGAGGCTCACTCATGTTGGTATAAGTCCATTTGTCATTTCCATGTCATTTCATGTCATTTTATCATCGCCTCGATTTCCGTGCCTGTGTGCACGTACTTCGAGACATCTCATTGCATTCTGTCATCGCCTCGGTTTGCGTGCCTGTGTGCACGCATTTCGAGGCATCTCATTTTCATCGCTTTCTGCCATCGCCTCGGTTTGCATGCCCGTGTGCACGTACTTCAAGGCATCTCATTCGTATTCTGTCACTTTCTCGGTTTGCGTGCCCGTGTGCACGCATTTCGAGGCATATCATTCCATAGCATTGTATACATTAGGATTGTATCTTAGTTGCATTTCATGCATACCATGCATATTGCATCGTGTCCGGAATAGGAGTTAGCCCGGGCACGGGAAACGAGGTACATTTCGTACTCCGAGTAACGGAACGTGTCTCAATTCCCCAGTTACCGACACTCCGGATTACCCATGATGGAGTTAGGTTTTAGCTGTAGTTTCATGTGCATTCATCCTATATTGAGTTGTGCATTTCGACTCCTCGGCCATCATGCCTCGGTATGCGTGATTGGTGGCACGAGGATCGAGACATGCATATATCTGTGCAAATACATTGCTATGCCCCTTTCCTGCTCTCTGTTGCAGCAAAAACCATCTTGTATGTCATTTTGGAGCTTGGCACGCATTCCCATTCTTGCATGCAATGGCAGCCTACCATGATTTTGTTTTTGGCCATTTTACAGTTCTGAAAAGGTGCTTATTTTGGTCCATTCTACATATTTTATTAAGGGTCTTTGGCTGTTTGGTGATTATTTTGTATACCTCA